TTGCCTTGTTTTGGTCTAGTCGACCTGGGGGTAATACACATTTTCATAAATTGAATTCTTGATTTCAATATAAAATGGTGCCTTTAAAAAGGACTTTAAAATGGTGCACATTACTGTAGTAGCCGTCGCTGGGTCAGATTGGCCTGGACCCAAAGTCAGCAGAACGGGAGCACACTGCTTGTTCCCACAATTAGTAGGACGTGACTTGTTGACCAGCAGAGAGAACTGTTCCTCCCGGCAAATGGCCAAGGACATGTGGTTTCACAGGTGAGCCAGCGTTCTCTGTTATCCACACACGGTACCAGATGGTAACAGATAGAATGCAAACATCTTCTCCTGTGCTACGCAACCAAGCCAGGCGTCTTGTTATCCACAAACGGTATCAAACGGTGAAGGGGATCTCTTGTGCTATGTCTGGAGGAACAGGTGCTGTTGACCTGTGGGAAGTCACGTACCAGAAAGTAGCTGGGAAAATAGCTGGCGTGAGAAAATAGCTGTGGGACGCTTGCCAAATTGAACAGTATAAAAATAAAACAACTGGTGCTTTAAGCACTGCAGTCTTGTACCCTCTTTCATGTCTGTGTGTTTTTTGTCTGTCTTTCTGTGTTCATCGCCCATCCTGCAATCAGGCTACGAGATGTTGCTTTGCATTTTTCATTACTGTTTGCTTGCCAATCTAGTACAGACAAAAGAGGAGGTGGTTCCTGTAAGGTTTGTTCCTGGTGGGAACCTGAAAATATCATAAATCCTATGAAACAAAAGAAACAGGATTCTGAAGAGTCCAAGCTTATAAATCTACAATCACAGACAGCTGCAGCCACAGGGCATTCCAATCCCTCTTGATAAGGATGGAGCTACCCACCTCACCTATCTCTGCAGGTGTTACTCCTCCCGCCAGGAAAAACCCTCTATAAGACCCAAGGCTTCCCTCCCTCAGGGTGGACGCTCTTTCACCTACACCATCTGCGCCCAGATGCTCAAAATAAAGTCTTTTGCTACCCATGAGGCTTCATGTGTCTCCCTCTGGGCTCCCGGCCTAACAGTTCCTAGCCTGGCTTGTTCCAGGCATTTCTCAGAGCAAAGTGAAAGCAACTTTCTTAAAGGCCTCGAGTCTGAGCTTGACTTTCATATCTTCAAATGGGATAAAATCTTTCCCATATCAGGGCTCTTGTTTTTCCTACCTAGGGGCTTATTCTGACATTCTCCACATGGTTTCATTCTTCATGTGGTTTCCTCCTTCCCATTCTTTCTCAGTTTAAGTGTGACCTCCTCAAAGAAGCCCTCCCTGACTGCCCTATGGATTCCTGTGCTTTCCTTCTGCTTTGCTGTCTCCCGGCATAGGCAGCAACCCACCACTAGCCCCCAGGCTAGAGGAAGGCAGGTAATGTCTCCTTGATCACCAGAAATCCACTGCCTAGTGTCTAGCAGTATCTAGCAGTATCTGGCCTTGCAGGTCCTTTTTCTTTACTCTTACTCAAGAAATATTCGAGGACATAATGCTCAGTGAAACAAGGACAATATGGAATATGGGTGCAAAACCCATTAATGAAGTATTAGTAAATAGAATTCAACAATATATAAAAGGAATTATATTCATAAACAAGTAGGATTTATCCCATGTATGCAGGCTATTTCAGTATTGAAAATTAATAAAGGTAATCCATCTCATCAACAGGCTCAAGAAAAAATCATATTAATAGATGCAGAAAATGCATTCCACAAAAGTCAACCCCCATTTATAATCAAAACTCTCAGCAAACAAGAAATGGAGAGAACCTCCCCAACATGGTAAAGAACATCTATGGAAAATCAACAGCTAACATTATACCTAATGCTGACAAACTAAATGCTTTCCCTCTAAGAGAGCAAGGGAAGGCTATTCCCTCTCACTACTCCTTTTGAACATCATACTGAAAGTTCTAGCTAATGGAACACAACAAGAAAATGAAATAAAAAGAATACAGATTGAGAAAGAAGAAATTAAACTATCTTTGTAGATGACTTGATTGACTATGGAGAAAACTCCAAATGATCAACACCAAAAAATACTTGGAACTAATAAATGATTATTACCTAGCAGGATACAAGGTTATCATACAAAAGTAAATTTCATTCCTATAAGCCAGCAATGAACAATTGGAATTTGAAATTAAAAACACAACATCTTTTACATTAGCACCAAAACAATGAAATATTAATAGGTATAAAATCTAACAAAATACATACAAAATCTATCTGAGAAAAACTGCAAAACCCAAAAAATAGGGACAAATAAACGGAGAGATATTTCGTGTGAATGGATAGGAAGATTCAATGTTGTTAAAGTGTTAGTTCCTAAAAATTTGGTCAATAGATTAAACATTCAATACAATCTCAATCAAAACCTAGGCAAGTTTTTTTTGTAGACATGGACAGACTGATTCTAAAGTTTGTATGTAAATGCAAAAGATCCAGGATAGCCAACTCAATATTAAAGAAGAACAAAGTCAGAGAACCAACATAACTTAGCTTCAGGAATTATTAATACTATAAAGCTACAGTAATTAAGATAAGACAGTGTGGTATTGGTGAAATAATTGACAAGTAGATCAATGGAACAAAAATAGAGAGTCCAGAAATAAACTCACAAAAATATCATTAATTGATCTTTGACAAAGGAGCAAAGGCAATACAAGGAGAAAAGATAGCCTTTTAGCAAATGATGCTGGAAAAATTAGACATACACAATAAAAAAAATGTATGTAGGTACAAACCTTATACTTCTTATGAAAAATAACTCAAAATGAATCATATTTGTCTAAATATAAGACACAAAGCTATAAAACATCTAGACAATAATATAAAAGAAAATATAAATGTCCTTGGGTTTGGCAATATGTTTTTAGATAACACCAAAAGCATAATCCATGAAAGAACAAATTTATAAGTTTGACTTCATTAAAATAAAAAACATCAGCTCTATGAAGGACTGTCAAGAGAATGAAAAGACAAGCCACAGATTGAGAAAAAAACACTCACAAAAATGTATATCTAATAAAGAAATTTTATCCAAAATATACAAAGAACTCCTAAAATTCAACAATAAGGAAATAAATGACCAAATAAAAAATGAGTGAAAGAGTTACACAGGTATCTTGCCATAGAAGAGATAATTATGACAAAATATGAGAAAAAGCCTCGCATCATGTTGTTATAAATTGCAAATGATGATATTTACAATGAAGTACCACTATACACCCATTAAAATGGCCCGAATCCAAAATACTGACTATACCAAATACTGATGAGAATGTGGAGACTCTTGTTCATTGCTGGTGAGAATGCCAAATGACATAATAGACATAATCAGTTTGGAAGATAGTTTGGCATGGACAAATTAAGACAGCTAAACATTGTCTCTCTATATAATCCAGCACTTATGGTCCTTGATATTTACCCAATTGATTTGATAACTTATATTCACACAAAAGCTTGTACACAAATGTTTATAGCAGTTTTATTTGCAATTGCAAACACTTGGAAGCAACAAGATGTGCTTCAATAGGTGAGTGGATAAACTGTGGTACATATATGTATATATATATTATTCAGAGATAAAAAGATATAAGCTATTAAGCCATGAAAAGACATGGAGCAAGATAAAATGTATATTGCTAAATGAAGGAAACCATACCTACTGTATGATTTCAACTATACAACATTCTGGAAAAGGCAAAAAATATGCAGACAGTAAAATGATGAGTGGTTTCCAGGATTTCAGGAGGGGAGGGAGAATAGGGGATTTTTATGGCAGTGAAACTCCTTTGTATGATACTGTAATGGTGGATATTACATCATTGTATTGGTGGAAATCACACCAAATCATAATATGCATTTGGCAAAATTCATAGAACTACACAATACAAAGAGTGAAAGCTGAGGTAAATTATGTATTTCATTCATTAATTGTACAAAATATAACACACCAATAAAAGGGGAAACTGTGTGGGTTGACAAGAGGGGCTATATGGGAATTCTTTGTACTTGCTACTCAATTTTTCTGTATACTTAAAACTGCTCCAAAAAAGCCTATTAATTTTTAAAAAATCCATGCTACTGTGCTCATATGTCCCTAATTTGTTAAAAAGTCAGATGTGCGCACACATTAAGCTTCAAGGAAGTTTTCCTCATGGAAATGCAAGGTGGCTACAATAATCCCTTGCTTATTTGGAGTTGCACGTGTTTTCACGTAGTATTTGTGTAATTTTGAATAGACAGCTTCCCACCATTCCTCCCCAGATAAACCCTGCTGGTCACAGATGTTGATCTTTTATGTTTTCAAGTATTTGTTCTATTTTTCAGCCTTATTCATGAGAGACATTTGAATGTACCTTTACTTCTGACAGCTTTGTGTTTAAAGGCATACTTCTATAGGGATGGTAAAATGCCCCCTCACCACCACCACAAGTCTTTTACTGTGCATAAAAAAATCAGATACTCAGAATAGCAGAAATGAGCCTCATATGTACATTTTACCCAGATTTAACAATTTTTTACTTTTGACATATTTGCTTTCTCTAACTCTTTTGCTGAATTATTTAAAAGCATTACTTAAATTAAACAATAAATAAATAATTGCAAATATTTCAGTATCTTTTAACAATTTCCTAAATCGTTCAAATATTATCACACTTAGAAGATAATGGTAATTTTCCTTAATATTTCTGATGTCCAGTCCATATTCATGTTTACCCAATCGTTAATGTCTGTTGCAGGTGATTTTTTCTCCAGCCAGGATTTGATGGAGAACCACGCGTTGCAATTTGTTGTTTTGCTGATAACCCTCTGGGGATTCCGGAAAAACCTGGGAGTGAGAACAACTGTCACATCCAACCTGCTAATTAAGCGGAAAAGTTACTTCCTTCGGGAGCATAGGTTTATGGGAATTGTAGTTTTCTGTAGCATGTAACTCCCGCGCAGCACTCTGGGAATGTGTGCCCAGATCTCAGTCTGCGCATGTGCAGAAGCAGACCTAGCTCCTGCCGTCCGCCTTCTCGGGCCTGAGAGTGAGGAGGTACCTGCGTCTTTAGGTCCGTGCGGGGGCAGAGGGTGCGCACCTCGAGTGAGAGCGCTGGTGACGGGGCTCTGCGCGGCCTGGGGACCTCAGGACAGGTGGGCTTGAGTGCGGGGGACTGGTGCAAGAAGCCTCGGGAATCCCCAGGCTGGCCCTCCCCTCCCCCAACCCCGCGCGGGGCGGCGGGCTGCAGGGCGCAGCTCGGGTTGAGTCCTGCTCGGCGGAAGGTGCTCGGTACTGGCCAGGGTGTGCAGGACTGCCGGCCCGGGAACGGCATGTGCGTGTATAACGCGATGACGAGCAGGACTAGTAACTAGTGCTATTATTCTGAGAATTAAATAAGTTGTCATCTGTAAAACATTTCGTCAAGTGCCTTAATAAGCATTGTGTAAGAAGTAAGCTGCTGTCATTATTATGAGACACTCGTTCTCATTGTTTGGTATTTTATTTAACCCTCACAACAACCCTACTTGTTATAAACATGCCATTTTTAAAAATGAAAGGAATTTCGTGGGACTGAATATCCTAGGGCACAAACTAGCAGGTGAGGCAGGTAGGGTGCAGATACAGATAGGCTTGACTTCCTGTCCCTTGCTCTTCCTAATTTCTTATCTACCTAAAAGCGAGAGTTGCCAGTACCTGACTAAAACCTTGGGAGCACTTATGCAGAGTGACCTGTCCTCGGATATGATTGTGAAGTGAATATGGACAAATTTCACCATGTGGTAAATATATCCTGGGATTTGTGGAGTCTCCACAGAGCCCCTGGTTCAGATTGAGCTGAACCTTCCTGTGTTGTTCGGGCTGTCTCTCCTCAAAGGCACAGATTGATTGATATTCTAGTGCAGTGCTGTCCAAGAGAAAGCTAATGCAAAACACAGATATACTTTAGAATTATTCAGTAGCCAAAATAAAAACAGTAGAAAGAGGCAGACAAAGGTAATCTTATATTTTATTTAACTGATTACATCCAAAATACTATTTTGTGGCACTGGCCAAACTTTAGGTGTCCATCAGCATGCAGCTAATGGCTACAGTACTGGATAGAATGTTTCTAGTGAATTCCAAGAGTTGGGTGTAGGGTGTGAGATGAAGTTTTCAAAGAAAGTAAATTTGTTTCTCAGGCCCATGTCCCAGCCCCTCTGGAGCAAAGCAGCTCTTAGGATAGGAAAGAGGATTCCCAGGGACTCCTGCCACTTCGAAGAATAGCCCCTTTGATAGAGACCTCTTGCAGAGCAGAATCGAAAGATTTTAGAAAGGAGCAGGTCCTGATTGGCTTCCTCAGTGGCAGTTCTTGATTCCCTGTATAGTGTGAGCCAGACTTCGTAATGTTGCCACATCCGAAAGCCATTACAGACTCTGTGACCATGGATGCTGTGGACTAACTTGCAGAAGGTGGTGACCTGGTGTTGAGAAGAATGGGTGACTGTTGCACTGGACAGAAAACTTTAATAGAGGGCCGGTGAGGCGATCATGTCCAGGGAAGACATAATCAGCTGACAGTCCACACTTTGAGTTGCTCTTATGCCATGTTCGTCACCACATGTGGCATTTAGAGTTATGCTGATGCTCCCTCTTTCCTGATCATAGGGAATAACAAAATGATAGTAGAGGAAGAATTTCTATATTTGAAGCCCAAAAATATTGGGCCTGATGATTTTTGTAGAGTCACCCAGGGCAAAACCAAGAACTAAACACAGTGCTGTTCAACTAAACAGGTAAGTGCCATAAGCATCTTACTGAAAGGACTATTTTTAGAATTGGCCAGTTAATTTTTAGAATTAACCGGTTTAGAATAAAAAGTTTAAAAATATATCCCTTGCATAAAATGTCTCACCTTTATTTTAGAGTTTTCTGTAGAAGCTCTGAGTCAGGGTGTAAAGAGAATCAGAACTTGATTAATATGCTCACATGAGTAGTTTTTTGACATGAGTTTTAGTGAAGGTGGAGAGTTTCATCTCTGTGTATCTGAACTTGTTTAATCCTCTGTTGTTTTATGTTTACTTTTTTGTCAGTCAGAAGGGAACATAAATTGTTAATATATTAGCAAAAACCAGTTGTACCTACTCAGTGAAAATGCGAGTTTTCATCACATGCACATAATCATGTCAGAGGTGCACATATTCAGGTGCTGCCACCTTTGTGTAATCCTTCCCATCCCTTTCAAGAGTCAAAGGAACATTCCTAATTAGAAAGCCATTTCTCCAGCTGGGTGTGGTAAGATTTTTAGGCAAGTGAATACACATGTTCCTTGATTACAATGGGGTTATATCCTGAAAAATCATTGTAAAGTCCAACAATACACAGTGAGTTGGGATCATCTGTATAGGATCTGTAAGGCAGACCAGGTCTCCCATTTCTCTTTCCTCCTCCCCAGCCGAACCTCCACAGCTCTCTGTACTCTTCCTGGAACAGCAAAGAATGAACATGTCTCAGGTGAGTTCAGTTTTAAATAATTGGTTTGTTTTTACAGTGGGTTTTATAAAGGTTTATGTGTCTGTGCATTAACATGGAAAAGTAGAAATAGGAATGAGTCAGACATGTTCATAGGAGATACAGAAATACAGATAAATAGTGAGCAAAGGTGGCATATGGATAGGTGCAGGTCCTGTGACATCACAAATTTACCAGCCTGAGCTTCACATTTATTTCTCAGGTTTTTGATAGCCCTGACAGAGTGTCAGATAGACAATACTTAAAGATTTACATTGATGGGAAAGAGCAAACTGATTCTTCATGGGATGTAAAGATAAATATATTTGTTCTTTAAGTAGGTGATTTGGTTAACAACTTGCCAGATAACATAGAATATGGCCTATACTTGTGCTTCACTAGTTGTGCTTCACTAGAAGTCGAAAACATTATGCTAAATGAGAACTTGCTCAGTACTGTTTTTCAAGAACTCAAACGCTGGGGTTGAATTAGACATTTTTCTGATGACTCAATAGAATTTCCTTAAAATTACTCTCCATAAGTATTTTGAGTACTCATGATACTCAGGTTGCTCAGCAGATGGTTTAAAATTCTGTCCTCTTTCATATGCTTCCACAGTTTGCGTTCAACTTCAAATCTTCATGTGATGCCTTAGTTTCCCTTCCCACTTGCCTGTGTTCTCTAGTGACCCTACCAGGATTATAATCAAGTCCAGTGGGTGTTGTCTTATCCTTTCCTTACGTGACTTTTGTGCAACACTTGCCTCTATTTCTCTGTCCTTCTGGAACGTTTCCCTGTTAGTGATGTTCTCTACTAGCACTAGCCCTGCTATACCTTCATGGCATCACCTTCTCTTGTCCTTTCAAGTGGCTTATCCCATTTCCATCCTTGGCCCTTTATTTTTCTCTATCTCTGAATGATTTCTCTTGTTTTTTTTAACAGCTTTATTGAGATTAAATTTACATACTGTACCATTCACCCATTTAAAGTGTAGAATTCCATGATTTTTTTTTTTTTTTTAGTATATTTGCAGATACGTACAGATATCACCACAGTGCATTTTAGGATGTTTTCCCTCCCTAAAAAGGAGACTTTGTTCACTGTGTCGATCATTCCATTCCCTCCAAGCCTGGAGCAACCACTCATCTACTTTGCCTCTGTCGATTTGGTGAACGACTCTCTTTATTAATTTTTGTAAGGTGTTTTTGCCTGTTACGAATTCTCTTAGTTTTTGTTAACTGGAAAGATTTTGATTTGCTGGATGTAGAGGATTCTTGGTTAACAGTCTTTTTCTTCCAGCATTTTGAATGTGTTACCATTGCCTTCTGTCCTCCAGGATTTCTAATTATTAATAGAAATCAGCTTTTAATATGATTTCTCTCTTGCTGCTTTCAAGATTGTCTCTTTGTCATTGTAACAGTTTATCACGTGTCCAGATTGGGATTTCTTTCTCCAAGTTTATCCTGTTCGAAGGTTATTGAGCGTTGGGTGTGTAGATGAATCATTTTCATCAAATTTGGGACTTCTTGGCCACTGTTATTTCAAATATCCTTTTGGACACTTTCTCTCCTCTCTGGTATCCTCATTATGCATATGTTGGTAAACTTGATGCTGTCCTACAGTTCATTTTTTGTTACTACTTTTTCTTTCTGTTTTTTACTGTATACTTTCAATGGACATGTCGTCCTGTGGTTCATTCTTTCTTCCACCTGCTCAAATCTTCTATTGAACATATTTGAAAATACTTTTTGGATAAAATTTTTGTTTTAGTTACTATACTTTTCAACTCTAGAGTTTCTATTTTTGGTCCCCTTTTTAAATAATTTCTGTCTTTTTATTGATATCCTTTATTTGGTGAAATATTGTTCTCATATTATCCTTAAGTCCTTATATATCATTACCTCTAGGTTTTTGACCATATTTAAAATAGCTGATTTGAAGTCATTGTCTAGTTAAATCCAATGTCTGCTTCTACAGGAATGATTTCTATTGATTACACTTTTTTCCTGCATATGGGTTTTACTTTCTTGTTTTGCAATTTTTTTTGTTGTTGTTGAAAACTGGACATTTTAAATAAAATAATGTGGCAGGGCTGGAAGAATTTCTCTTCTCCCCAGAGGTCTGTTTTGAAAATTTTCTAGTGACTTTTTAAAAAAACTAATTCAATAGAGCCTGTATTTGTTGTGTGTGGTAGCTGAAGTCCCTCAGAAATTTCCTTAAATGCCTGAAACCAGTAAGTCTCCCAGTTTTTGCTAGGGGGCCTGGAAATGCTGGGACATTCCTTCAACAGTCATCCAGGCAGTTTACAACTCTTTTTTAGCCTTCACTTCCTGCTTACTCCAAACCTTCAGATCACCCAGAGGGGACAGTGTAGGGTCTCCTCACATCTTTCCTTGAGCATGCTCACAGCCCTGGGCATGTGCTCAGCCCTGTGCATGTAGGTGGCCTTCTAGATTCTCCAGAATATATCAGAGCTTTTCAAAACCTTAATGGATTACTCATTCCCCAGCTTTTCCTTTTATTAATAATAAAGCTTTTTGATTAGGCTTTTACACCAACTGTTATCTACCACCTCAGGTTGCTGCCAAGTGAAACAATTGCCTTTAAATGTTGTTGACTAAAGCCTTTGAGGATAAGGCTTTCCACGCTGGGGGAGATCTGAGTTAGTTCAAATAGCCTTACATGTGAGGTCTTCCAGGGAACCACCAGATTAGGTCAAATCATGACGCTTTTCTAGGAATGAGGCTTTGACAAAACTCTAACCTAGTTCTGCCTCCTCCAGTCATTGCCAGGCTGCTGCTTTTCACTGTTATTTCAGATAGTTCTCAAAGCAAACACAGAAGGATGGAAAGAGGGAGAGTTAAAATGACACAAGATCACTATTCCTCCTATGATGCAGCTATTTTTCTTATGTAAATGTTCCGCAGATTGCTATAAACTTTTGGTTAGTTTTCAGAATTCTGAGAAAGTTGATTCTAATCTTTGCCAGTTTCTCATTACTTTTATGGAAGAGAAAATTTTCTAGGATCTTTATTTTGCTGGGGTTTTTTTTGACATCACTTCTTAGCTTGAATTTGAGGTCTTTTGTTATGGAAACTTTGCCTTTTCTCAGTTTCTCAGACACTCTACTCTCCTGATTCTATTATTATTTTTCATAAAACTTATACTCTGGCTTTGTGGCCTATACTTTTTCTGCCAGCCTCTTTAATATTTGTAGTTCCTCAAGTGTTGCTTTTGGTACTTTTCTTTCTTCAATCGCTATGTGCTCAAGGAGCTGTCTTATTATCTCCAGTAAGTTCAGTTAGCACGGAAGTTGCTTGTGACTCCTAAATGCTTGTCTTTATCCTAGACCTACCTTCTGGGCTCTTCAGGCATGTTCACACTGGTTAAGGGACAATTTTAGCTTTGTGTTCCACAGGCTGTTACATAGCAGCATGAACAGATCTCTCACTAACATTTCTAACACTTTTTTTCTTTTGTTTCCTAAATATCAGTTTTTTGCATCAAGAAGCTGCTCATTTTGAAATATACATTACAGTATTATTAGCGGTAGTCACTATGCTATGCAGTGTTTCAAAAACTTATTCCTCTTGTCTGACTTACACTTGCTACCCTTTGACCAGCATCCATCTCTGCCCCCTTGCCTCTGGCAACAACCATTCTACTCTCTACTTCTATGAGTTTGAATTTTTTTGATTCCACGTATAAGTGAGATCTTATTTGGGGTATTTGTCCTTCTGTCAATTGAAAATAAAATGTAAAAAAAAAAAAAAAGAAGAATCTGTTCGTACAGCTAGATTGGGTAGCTGCCAAGAAAGTTATTAATAGTTACCAAATGGTGATTGTATCTCCTGTGATTATATCTCTGTTCTAATATCTGCTGCTATTACTTCAGTGCAGGTCATGTTCTCTTATACTGGTCTCTTTGGTTCCAACTCCTTTGTAAGCTGTTCTCTGCTTTTCATGAGCTCTAGATATATATGTTTTTATACATTGGTTTATACCCAACTTTGGCCAGGTGCGTTTCTGGAGCTTATGTGTATCTTCCTTAGCTTCCACGATTTGCAGGGATGATGCCCAGGGAGGGTGTGACTGTCCTAGAGAACTCCCAGGTGTATCCATTGCAATGTGGAAAAAGAATTGTAGAGAGTCTGTTTTGAATTTTTTTGTCTTAAAAAAATGTAGAATTCATAAATATATATAAATGAATCTTGGTACATTAAAAACCTTTTTAACTAATTGAGTAACAAGTTTTAAGACAAAATTAAGTCCGAGAATAAATAGGAAAAGAGTAGTTCTCAAAGGTATTTTCCACTTCACCTAATTATGAACCCTTGAGCAACATGTGTTGTTGCAGGCATCAGTGTCATTCGAGGACGTGACTGTGGAATTCACCCAGGAGGAGTGGCAGCAGATGGGCCCTGCGCAGAGGAACTTGTACAGAGATGTGATGCTGGAGAACTACAGCCACCTCGTCTCAGTGGGTGAGCACGCCTTACCACGTGACTCCCTCTAGAATGTTTACTTTTTAAAAAACTATCAAAACACATGGGTCCTTTATAGAGATAAATGTTATTGAGGCTTTAGATTAAAATGTCTAAGGTAATTGAAACCTTTAGAGAAACAGAAACAATATTTGTGTCATTACCTTACCATTGAAAATGTCAAATGAGCACCTTCATTTGTTGCTTTTGCTGCTGTATCTTTTTCCACCTTCAGAAACCCAAAAGCCCATTGATCCAGTTCATGTACACTCTCAATTATTCCATTTACAGGATATTGCATTACCAAACCCAAGGTGATCTTCAAGTTGGAGCAAGGAGAAGAGCCCTGGTTCCTAGAGGACAAATTCCTAAGCCAGAAGTACCCAGGTGAGTGAGCACTGACAGAAGTAGCCCCGGGGCAGAGAGCACCTTTGAAAGTTTTTTATTTTTAACTGCTTTATTGAGCTATAACTGACATCTCGTACAATTCACCCATTTAAAGTGTACAGTTCAATGACTTTTAGTATATTTACAAATACATTCAGCCCTCTATATCTGTGGGTTCTGCATCTGTGGATTTAACCAACTGTGGGATGGAAACTATTCAGGAAAAAATAATTTTGTCTATATTGAACAAGTATAGGTTTTTTTCTTGTCATTATTCCCTAAACAATATAGTATAACAACTTTTTACCTATCATTTACCATGTATTAGCTATTATAAGTAATCTAGAGATGATTTAAAGTATACAGGAGAGTATGCATAGGTTATATGCAAATACTACACCATTTTATATCAGGAACTTGGGCATCTGTGGATTTTGGTGTCCTTGGTGGTGGGATTAGGGTCCTGAAACCAATCATTCATGGATACTGAGGGACAGTTGTGTGTGCACACATCACCACAGACAATTTTCATCACCTCAAAAAGAAACCTGTACCCTTTAGTTATCACCCTCCTATCACCGTCATCCCTTTCCGCTCCGGGCAGCCACTAATCTACTTCTGTCTCTATGGATCTGCCTATTCTGGGCATTTCTTATAAATGGAATCATATAATATGTGATCTTTTGTGATTGGTTTCTTTTGCTTAGCATAATGTTTGTAAGGTTCATGTTATAGCATATATCAGTATTTCATCCTTTTTATGGCCAAATAGTATTCCGTTGTAGGAGTATGCCACCTGTTTGTGCATTCATCAGTCAGTAGATATTTGAGGTTCTACCTTTTGGCTATTATGAATGAATAATGCTGATAAAAAACATCCATTTCCCAGTTTCTGAATGGACATATGATTTTATTTCTCTTGGGTATATGTCTAGCAGGGAATTGCTGGGTTATGTAGTACCTCTGTATTTATCTGTTTGGGCAACTTCCAGACTAACTAGTGAGTGAGTGCACCATTTCCCATTCCTAACCACAGTATATGAGTGTTCTGATTTCTCCACATCCTCACCAACACTTGTTATCTGACTTTCTGATTCTAGCCACCCTAATGGATGTGAAGTGGTATCTCATTATGGTTTTGATTTATATTTCTATATTAGTCAGCTAGGGCTGTCATAATAAACTGCCATAGGCTGGGTGGCTTAAACAATAAATTCTCACAGTTCTAGAGGCTGACAGTCCAAGATTGAGGTGCTGTTAGGGTGGGTTTCTGGCGAGGCCTCTTTTCCTGGCTTGCAGACAGCCACCTTTCTGTTGTATTCTCACATGCAATGGGGAAATAGAACATTCTGGTGTTTCTTCCCCTTATATGGACACCAGTACTGTTGGATTAGGGCCCAACCCTTATGACCTCATTTAACCTTGGTTACCTCCTTATAATCCTGTCTCCAAATACGTTACACTGGGAGTTGGGGCTTCAACATATGAATTTGGGGGCAGGAGGAGTCACAGTTCAGTCCGTAACAATTTCCCTGATCACTAATAGTGTGAAGCATCTTTTCATATGTCTGTTAGACTTTGTGTGCAATAATAAACCATTCCAGGAATTTTTAAAAGTTAGAGTTTTCAATATAATTCCTAGAACTAAAAAGTAAAATTGTTTAGAAGTGAAGCACACTTGCCGAAAGTTTTGTTGTGAAGCCATATAAGCAAATAGCATAACATAAAGATTGAGATAATTTAGATTAAGCACATCTCCCAGTCACTAAATGTAAATGATTGGATCATATTGAGTGTCTAAAAAAGATATCCCTAAATAAGTAACTTAGAAATATTGTTATGAAAGAGTGGTAAAGTTGTTGAGACAATAAAAGTGAAATAACAAAAGTTTCACTTTCTGTTATTATTCACGTTTGAATTTGGGCAATAATACATTAAAAGAAGCCTCTCTAGATCAAGAGCACAGGTAAGAGAAAACCTTTAAGAATTTGAAGGATTGCTCCAAGTAATATGCTATCAATGTTGATAAAATATAAGATAATAGAGTTCTAAGAACTTAAAATGCATTAGAATTAGGATATCATGATATGCCTCATCTGATTAAATAATAGGTATAGTCAACATTAAGTAAATATGTCTATTGATGACATAAATGACATTTGTATTAAACTAAACCATATATTTGTATATGTGTATACCACATGCAAAGAACAAACCTTTCAGTTTCCCATGGAATAATCATAAGACAGTGAACGCATAGCATTAGTTTGAAGAGAAAATCCCAGTAAATCCAGCTAATTAGAATCACCACAAATAATAGTCTCTGAATGTAGTTTGGTAAATCTAGAAACTAATAATAAACAAAGAACTCCACATGAAAATTTTAAAATTTTTCTTTTAGGCAGTATACAAAAAAGGAAATCAAATCTAAAATTGCATGATACTTAATGAAATAATAAAGGTAACTGCATATTGGAAACTTCCAGATATAGCTAAATTATTGAACAGAATTTGTAGTCTCCTATTTGTATTAATAAATTAAGCAAGAACAGTAACAAAAAACACTAATGAAAGCAGAAGAATTTAAAAGGAAGAATTAGAAATAAATTTGGAAACTGAGAAATAGAGTGTTCCTTAGAATAAAAATCAATAAAAAGGATGAAGTTAAAATAAAAGCTCAAGGAAAACTGTGCATTGTGTAGACAGCTTCTTTCATGGCGCTGCAGAACAATGGGAAAAGGGATCATGAGGTATCATGTAGACCAAGGATTCAAATCGTTTAAAGACCTAATTATCAGAATAAAACTAGAATTATTTTAGAAGATGATAAATGAGAATTGGTTTATGACTCTTCTTAGGGAAGGATTTAATATAGAAGGCATTAACTTGTATTCTTTTCTGCTTTACCCACTAGCACAGCTAAATATGTACTCACATACAGGCATAACTCAGAGATGCTGCAGGTTCAGTTCCAGATCACTGCGTAAAGTGAATATTGCAATAGATTGGGTGACCCAAAGTTTTTGGATTTCCAGTGCACATAAAAGTTATGCCTACACTATACTGTAATCTTTTAAGTATACAACAGCATTATGTCTAAAAATGTGCATATCTTCATTAAAAAGTACTTTATTGCTAAAAAAAAATACAGACGTGAAGTGAACATATGCTCTAAGAAAAATGGCGCCAATATACTTGCTCGACACAGGGTTGCCACAAACCTTCAATTTGTAATTCAGTATCTGGGAATGCAAGAAAGTAAAGCACAATAAAACAAGGTATGCCTGTGTGTGTGTGTGTATGTGTGTGTGTATGTGTATCAGACATAAGATTCTGAAGGGTGGAAAGAAGAATGAAGTTGAACAATGAGGAACCTTGGCATCTGAGCAAATACAAGATGGTTAGTATCAGCAGTCTTGTGGGGAACTTGATCTTCCACCTCTTCCGTCCCGAGTTAATGTGGAAGCCTTCTCTTCCATTCTCAGGGTGTCAGCAGAGATTACTGGGGAACCTGGACTTCTGTACCTGCTTGGCAGTTAGTGATGATGAACCCCACTTCTCTTACTGGCATAATTTCAGAGGATGCTGGCTAAAACTGAACATTAATTTTGATAAAGTACAATTTATTAATTTTCTCTTATGAATCATGCTTTTGTTGTCCTATCTAGAAACTTCAAAACTAATAGTAACAGATTTATTCCTGTGTTTTCCTCTAGAAATTTTAAAGTTTCCCTTTGTACACTTAATAGATCCATTTTCTGTTAAATTTCATAGAAAGTATGAGGGATATGTCAAGTTTAAGTTTTTGAAAAGGGGAGTTTAGTTATTCTAGTACTACTTGTTGAAAAGACTATCATTTCTCCATTAATAGCATCCTGCCTTTCTTAGAAAACAGGTGACTTTATATTTTGGGATTTGTTTCTAAATTCTCTGTTCTTTTTCATTCATCTGTGTTTCTTTCCTGATGCCAGTACTACATTAGCTTGATTACTATAGATTGTTAATTAAATTTCAAAGTCAGGTAGTTCTCTGTCATCTTCTCTGTGAATTTATAAATGATCTTAGTCTTTACAAAAAAAGCATGCTGGCATTTCAACTGAGATTGTGTTGAATTTATAGCTTAAAGAGAATTGACATCGTAACAATGTAGAGTCTTCTAATGCATAAACAAAATATTTTCTCCCATTTGTTTAGTATTGAATTTCTTTCATCAGTTTCTTATAGTTTTCAGAACACAGGTGCCAAGGCTTTTTTTGTTGTTGTTTTTTGTTTTTTGGTGCTATGGTTAATGATATGATTTTGCTAATTTCAAATTCCATTTGATCATTGTTTGTTCATAGGCCTATGATGTGTATTGGCCTTGTATTCTGCCCTTGCTAAAAACATTTATTAGTTCAAGGAGGTTTCTGTAGAGTTGTAAATGATTTTCTTTGTGAACTTGCTCTATATCTTTTTGTTTTTATTCTTGTCTTATTGTACTGGCTGATACTTCCAATGCAACCTAGAGTAAAGGTGGAAATAGTGGACATCCTTGTCTTTTTCCTGATCATGGATGGAAAATATTCAGTCTCTCAAGTATGATGTTAACCACAGACTTTTTGTGAATTCCCTTTTTTAGGTTAATGAATGGATTTTGAATTTTGTTAAAATTTTTGGCACTGGCCGGGCGTGGTGGCTCACGCCTGTAATCCTAGCACTTTGGGAGGCCGAGGCGGGCAGATTGCTCAAGGTCAGGAGTTCGAAACCAGCCTGAGCGAGACCCCGTCTCTACCAAAAATAGAAATAAATTAATTGGCCAACTAAAAATATATATACAAAAAATTAGCCGGGCATGGTGGCACATGCCTGTAGTCCCAGCTACTCGGGAGGCTGAGGCAGTAGGATCGCTGAGCCCCGGAGATTGAGGTTGCTGTGAGTCAGGCTGACGCCACGGCACTCACTCTAGCCTGGGCAACAAAGTGAGACTCTGTCTCAAAAAAAAAAAAAAAAAAAAAATTTTTGGCACTGATGTATTTGTGTAGTTTTAATTCTGTAGACTATTAATATAATAGATTACATTGATTTTTTTTAATATTTCAAGACTTTTACATTTGGGGACTGAATCTCACTTGCCATGATTTATTTTTTTACATATATATATTTCTGTATACTTTTTTTGAGGATTTTGCATTTATGCTATGAGGGATATTGGTCTTTAGGTTTCTTTTCTTGAATTCCCTTTGTCTCATCTTGCTATCAGGATAATGCAAGCCTGATAAAATGATTTGAGAAATATTCCCTCATCTTGTATTTTCTGGAAGAGATTCTGTAGAATTAGTATTATTTATTCCTTAGATGTTTGGTAGAATTCACTAGTTAAAATCATTTGGTCCTGGAGCTGTTATTTGGAAATATATATGTATATATGAGAACTGTGTATGTGTATATGCGTGCGTGTGTGTGTATGTGTGTGTGTGTGTGTATGGACAACATATGTATTACATATTCAATTTCTTAAATAGATATTGTTCTGTTCAAGACCTCTGTTTTTCTTGAGTGAATTTGATGATTTGTTTAATCCCAAGAAATCTGTTCATTTGATGTAAATTGTCAGATTTATGGGCATAGAGTTTGCAATGTACTGAAAGCTTGAGGCCCACTTCCCAATTCATGTGTTGAAACCCTGAACCTAGTGTGATCTATTTGGAAATAGGCCTTAGGGAGGTAATTAGGTCATGAGGCACATTGTCGAAATTATTTGACATGCTTCCCTTGTGACTGTTTTCTGAAAACTTGTGATTGGCATATTTATAAAACCAACATGTATTTTTAAAAATTATTTTATTGGGTAGAATTGAACAGAATTTTGTAGCAATCTTAAGCCTTATTTACATATGCAGACATAGCTTTTATTTGGTCTCAGTATTTTGAGATTAGATTAGACATTCAGTTAGTAGATCCACCATTATGAAGAGTCAAGTTAATATGTTATGTTCCATTGTAAGTGTCCTTTTCCTTTCACTGACAGCTCCTTTTTAAATAAATGTCTTTTACCTTATTCTGCCATTATGTGCTAACATTTGACATAGAATATTTTCCCTCTGGTTGCAGTATACTTTCACTTATCCTTTCTTTCCAGTTAGATTGTGCAAATAAAGTAGGTTTTCTTTTATAGTAAAAAAAAAAAAAAACAGGAAAGAAAGATAAGAATGAGATTTGAATGCTATTGTGAAAAGAGGCCATAGAGCTAGCTATAACTCTCTTTTGACTATGCGAGGATATAACAAAAAGTTGGCAGTCTGTAACCCAGAAGAAGACAAGTCTGCAATGCACAAGAATACAAGAACACGACCATGCTTGCACCCAGATCTTGGACTTCCAGCCTCCAGAACTGAGAGAAATAAATGCTTGTTCTTTAAGTTACCTAGTCTATGATAATTTATTATAGCAGTCTAAGCTGAATAAGACAGTTTTTGTTAATGTTTTATCTCTTGAATGTGTGCTGTGTGAGTCCTTACGTTCCCTCTTGCATTTTTGATATTAATAATTTGTGTCTTCTCTGGTTTTTTTTCCTCTGCTGGTTTTTGTCATTTAAAAAAATCTATTTAAAGAACTAAGCTTTGATTTGATTTTCTGTTTTCAGTTTCATTGCCTTTATACTTTATTCTTTTTTTCCTTCTACTTCCTTTAAATTTAATTTCCTTTCTTTGTCTAGTTTCTTAAAGGGGAAATTTAAATATCTGATTCAAGATCTTTCTATTATAAAATTTTTAAGCCATAAATTTGTTTTTGAGTACTGCTTTAGCTGCATCCACAAATTTCTATGTATTTTTTTGTTTTCATTCACTTAAAAATATCTTAATTTTCTGCAAGACTTCCTCTTTACCCATGAGTTCATAAAAAGTGTGTAATTTACATATATTTTGTATTTCTCTATATAAATTTGTGTTTACTGACTTGCAGTATAATTTCTCTGTGCTTGAGATAATCCTTTCTATATGATTTTTTTATACTTGTGAAGATTCATCTTATAGCCCAGAATGTGTCCTATGTTGATCAGTGTTCCATGTACCCTTGAGAGGAATGTGAATTCAGCTATTGTTGAATGTATTGTATCTTCAGGTTTTGGTTATCACAAGTGCTACTTTATTTTTTCTACCCATAGTGTTGGGCCTACCATGTTCTTGCTCATGCCCTAAAACAAGAGATGTGGTGTGTTCTTGCCCTTGCAGATTAAGCCATTTGTTCTATAAATTAGATAAGAATATACTTCCAGGCGGAATTTTGGCAGTGGCTCCTGTTAGCATCTCCCAGTGTATCCCAAGGATGGAACTTTCTCAGGATTCTGTATGATCTTTCCTATGAGCCCCATTTGCCTCATGGAGGGAAATATTACAATAGTGTGAAGATCCTATTTCTGTGGCAGTAGAAGATTAGGTCCCTGCTCAGCCTCTTTGGAACCACAGGAGCATTCCATTTTTGTTTGGCCTGAGTATGGTGGGTATTGTCAAAAATGTTTTCTGTTCTGTTAGATCACCTTTTTCTCAGACCTTTGGTTGGAAGGAACAGGCTTTTCTTGGAGCTTTTTTTTGTCTGTGCCTATTGTTGGCTCCGGATTGTTGGCTTCTTCAGCACCCAGTCTAGAATATATTGGAAACAGAAAGAAAACCTTTGGAATTCTCCACTGTCATTTCTTAAGTCCTCAGGTCCACTTTCTTTTCATTTTATAGAGTCATCCTATGCTTGTTAATTTTTTTCTTGTCCAGGGATTTTTTGATTATAAGAGAGAAGATGTGGGGAAGAAAAAGGTTACCCCATTTTGGCTGGCCCTGGAAATAATACCTGTTTTTTTTTTTTAAAACAACTTGGATGAGGAGAGAGAAAGAGAGTATCTGTGTGCATGAATTATTTAATCTTTGGAAACATGACCAGAAACAAAAGAATAAAATACATAGCAAAACATGGGTATAAGTTCCTCTCCATGCAAAGTGTAAGATTTATAATATACTCTCAATTTTTCTAATTTTAGGATATTATAAAGTTGATGACCACATTAAAGGGATCAAGGAAAAACAAGAGAAGCCTCTGTGGGAAGTAATATTCATTGATGATGAAATATTGAGTAAAGAAGGACAGAAATTTTTAGAAAACCCATTTAATCTAGGCATAACTCCAGAGTTTTTAGGAAAAATACTCTGTAAATGTGACTCATGTAGTATGAATTTACCAGTTATTTCTGAATTAATTTTAAGTGAAAGCAACTATTCAAGAAAGAAGCCTGATTACTTGAACGTATGTGAAAGATTGCAGCTTGATATTAATGGTGAGAAAACTCATGCTGGAGATAAATCTTATGAATATAATAAAAATGTGAAAGCTCACAGTCATAAGAAAGATCACTACCAAGGATTTCAAACTTCGAAGCAATCTTTTGAATGTAATGAATTTGGAAGTGTTTTACATGATAAGACCACCTGTATTACAGCTGGGAGTTTTCCAACAGGAGAGAATTCCTCTAAGGATGACGAATTTAGGAAAAACTGTGATAAAACTAGTTTATTAAATCACATGAGAACTGACACAAAGGAGAAATGCTCTGATCTTAATGACTGTGAGAAATCCTACCACAAAAACACCATTGTGGGATACAAGAAAGATCACATGGCTGTGACACACTATGAACACAATGAAAGTGGGATTAATTTCAGTAGGATGTTACCCCTTACTCAATCTCAGAGAACTTTTACAGGACAGAGTGCTTTTGAAAGCGATAAATGTGAAGAAAACTTTAGCCAGAGTTCAGCCCATATAATACATCAGAAAATACAAACACGAGATAAATCATGTGCATATAATGGATGTACGGATGCCTTCTATCAGAAATTAGACCTTACAATACACCAGAAAACTCCCATAGAAGAGAAATTCTACCAGTCTGGTGAATATAAGAAATCCTTTTACCAGAATACACACTTCATTCAGCATGAGAGGACCCATTCTGGGGAGAAACCTTACCAATCTGAGGAATGTGGGAAATCCTTTTGTTCAAATTCACACCCTGTTCAGCATACTGGAACTTATATGAGGTTCAAACTTTATAAATGTAGTGAATGTGGGAAAACTTTCTGTCAGAAGTCAAACCTCACTAAGCATCTAAGAATTCACACAAAGGAGAAACCTTATGATAACAGTGGCTGTGGGAAATCTTATAAGCCACTCTTCATAGGGTACCAGAGAACAGACACAGAGATGAAACTCTATCAAGGCAGTGAATATAAGAAAACATTCTCCAAGATGGCCCATCTCAAAGAACATCAGAGAATTCACATGGGGGAGAAACCCTATGAATGTACTGAATGTGGGAAAACTTTCTCCAAGACATCACATCTCCAGGCACATCAGAGAATTCACACAGGGGAGAAACCTTATGAATGTAATGAATGTGGGAGATCTTTTACCTATAATTCAGCCCTAAGAGCACATCAGAGAATCCACACAGGTGAGAAACCCTATGAATGTAGTGACTGTGAGAAAACTTTTGCCCATAATTCAGCCCTCAGAGTACATCAGAGAATTCACACAGGGGAGAAGCCATATGGATGTAATGAATGTGAGAAAACTTTTGCCCATACTTCAGCCCTCAGAGCACATCAGAAAATTCACACAGGGGAGAAACTCTATGAATGTAGTGAATGTGGGAAAACTTTCTCCCTGAAGACTCACCTCAGTACACATCAGAGAATTCACACTGGAGAGAAACCCTATGAATGTAGTGACTGTGAGAAACTTTTGCCCATAATTCAGCCTCAGAGTACATCAGAGAATTACACAGGGAAACCATATGGATGTAATGAATGTGAGAAAACTTTTGCCATACTTCAGCCTCAGAGCACATCAGAAAATTCACACAGGGGAGAAACTCTATGAATGTAGTGAATGTGGGAAAACTTTCTCCCTGAAGACTCACCTCAGTACACATCAGAGAATTCACACAGGTAAGAAACCCTATGAATGTAGTGACTGTGAGAAAACTTTTGCCCATAATTCAGCCCTCAGAGTACATCAGAGAATTCACACGGGGGAGAAACCATATGGATGTAATGAATGTGAGAAAACTTTTGCCCATACTTCAGCCCTCAGAGCACATCAGAAAATTCACACAGGGGAGAGACTCTATGAATGTAGTGAATGTGGGAAAACTTTCTCCCAGAAGACTCACCTCAGTACACATCAGAGAATTCACACAGGGGAGAAACCTTATGAATGTAATCAATGTGGGAAAACTTTCTCCCAGAAGTCATACCTCAGTGGACATGAAAGAATTCACACAGGGGAAAAACCTTATAAATGTAACATATGTGGGAAAACTTTTGTCTATAAGGCAGCCCTCATAGTGCATCAAAGAATTCACACAGGGGAGAAACCTTATGAGTGTAATGAATGTGGAAAAACTTTCTCCCAAAGAACCCACCTCTGTGCACATCAGAGAATTCATACAGGGGAAAAACCCTATGAATGTAGTGAATGTGGGAAAACATTTGCGGATAATTCAGCCCTCAGGGCACATCACAGAACTCACACAGGCGAGAAACCCTATGAATGTAATGAATGTGGGAAAACTTTCTCTAAGACATCACACCTCAGAGCACATCTGAGAACTCGCACAGGGGAGAAACCCTATGAATGTAATCAGTGTGGGAAGACTTTCTCTGAGAAGTCATATGTTAGTGCACATCAGAGAATTCACACAGGAGAGAAACCTTATGAATGTAATATATGTGGCAAACCATTCGCTCATAATTCAACACTCAGAGTACATCAGAGAATTCACACAGGTGTAAAATCCTATGAATGTAATGAATGTGGAAAAACTTTCTCCCAGAAGTCACACCTTAGTGCACACCAGAGAATTCACACAGGGGAGAAACCCTATGAGTGTAATGAATGTGGGAAAGCTTTTGCCCAAAATTCAACCCTCAGAGTACACCAGAGAATTCACACAGGGGAGAAACCCTATGAATGTGAAGAATGTGGGAAAAGGTTTGTCCGTAAGGCAGCTCTTAGAGTACATCACACCAGAATGCATACCAGAGAGAAAACCATAACCTGTAATGAATTTGAGAAGCCCTGAAGAAACTGATACTTTACTATATAATATGCAGTAGAGAAACTCATCTCACATAGACTAGCAAATTGCTCTCTTAACCATTTCCGTTTCCACTGGGCTCATAGCTTGTCAAAAACTCCCAATCTTTTGTTCATCCAGATGTGGCTGACCATAGAATGTGATGTTAATGATATATATTACATTTAATCCTGGCCCTTGAAATAAATTACCTTACATTCTTCCTGGTCTATGTTAAGATGGAGTGGAGATGATTTCTACAGCAAACTTGGATCCTCTGTGTTGAACATGATAGAACACAAGGTCAAAGAAGCTAAAGTCTGAAAAATTGTGTAGAACTGAATTCTCCACTTACTGATACTTACCAGTTAGATTTTTTGTTTTAAGTAAAAAGTTTATATTCTGTTGAGCTCTTACAGGTTTGGACTATTAGATACACATAGTTTAGCCAACTCTCTGTTAGAGTGGGATGAAACCCTATGAATATAATAAATTTTAGAAGAATTCAACTTATCATTGGATATTAGAGACTTTGCATGAAGTAGAAGACTGTCAACATCCTGAATGATCTGAAGCCTTCACTACAAAGCAGAAAAATTCAAATTTCAGGGAAAAACACAAAGCCTTCATCACAGAGTGAACTATATTAAGAAACAAATAATCAGAATAAAATTTTATATTTTGAATAACATTTTTCAACAAATATTGAAAGTCTTTTTTCAGATAATTTTTTCTGAGGAAATGCGTCAGTTTCAGAATTGAAGATAAAATCTTTGCCTAGAACTGATATACTAAAACTTGTATGTAATATCCAAAATTTTATAGTAAATATATGAGAAAATATTTATGTATAGAAAACCTCACTGTTGAATGTGAAGTTTTAAAAATGGAGGAATGACCTGAATTCTGTGGCCAATAAACGTTTGTGAATAGTCTAGAGCTATGTAGAACATCCATATGAGTCTCTGTATAAACAGGTGATTTATTATTACTGGTGATTTCTAGTAGGAACCAACAACCACACGTGTTCTGCATATGTCCGTTTCTGTTTCTGAGTGTGTCCTCTGTTGGCTTCCCTCAGCTTGATGCTGATACGATTTCGATCTGCCCACTGTGTCTGAATATTAGTTTTGCCCTTTTTTTCTAGGACCTTGGAGATCCATGAGATTTCCCAAGCATTCCCTATGTGTGTGGCTGGACGGTAGTGGTGGTATTGAGTCTTACATTCATTTTGGGGGCCTTCATTTTATCCCACCCTTGTGGTTCATTTTGCACTGAATGATTATAAAACAGGTTATCTCCTCAGCCCCCCTTGTATGCATATAGCCTCTGCATCTGGTCTGGGATCTTTTTTCCAACATTTTGAAGCCTGCTCACACTGTGTATTATAAACTAGTGGTATTTCTACAAAGCTGAGATGGCAGGTTTTGGAATTGGAATGAAAACAACTACTTCATGGCAGAAGCACAGCACTCGTACTAAAAAACAGACTTACTTGTGGTAAAACAATATAATGTATAAGCCAAGAAAACCTTTGGTCATTCTGCCATCATTTTAGCCCACATGGTGTGGTCAGCACAGAGAAGAAAGTAAAGTCATTTCTAAAACCTGGACCACAGAATTTCTTTCAACCCTTTCTGCAAGTTTGATCTGGTAGATTAAGCACAAGGACAATAAATCATTTGACTCTCTGAGAAAAATTTCCCTAATCTTTATCCCTTTTTTATGCTGTATGAAGGGAAAAATGATGATATATCTTTAGCATTAATTGGATAACAGGTATTTCTTTGACATTGGGTTGTTATCAGTTAATGCAGTGCCAAAAACAAGAGCCAGGAGTAAAAGCCTACCATTGGATGAGGGTTGTGTCATTGAACCCCCACGTCAGAGACTGGATCATTACTCCTGGCAGAAAGGTACTATCAACTAAGGGGATCTATTTCCCCTTTCTTAGTTTCTGACACCTTGATGTAACTTGAGTTTATTACACAGTGTCCAAAGGGAAATGAGAGCCAAAAATCATGCTTCTACATGCTCAATTTTTAGAAAAGTATAGATGAAAAGAAACTTAACCCTGTGTACTTTTTTTAAAAAATGAAACTTAAATTTACAGAAAAATTGCAATGATCATTTCTATATACTCCTCACCCAGTTTCCATTAATATATTACTGTGGTACATTTGTCATAACTAAGTAACATCGGTACATTATTAACTAAACACTTTTTTTTTCCAGATTTCACTAGTTTTTCCCTAATGGCCTTTTCAATTCCATGATCCTACTGGTGTTCAGAAAATGATACCCTAAATTGCAGGCCTCAGAAGCAATGTTTTTTCTGACCTTCTCTGCCCTCCTGTTTCTCAGCCTCATTCCCAAAGCTAGCCACAGAAACTGTAGAATACTTCTTGCCCAAGGTGGGTTGTATTAATAGAAACCAGAATTCTTTTTCCCCAGAGCCGGCTATAAAACCTAAAAATGTTACTCTTAACTTTCCCCTGCCTTTCTGTGTAGGAACTGGCCATAAAGAAATTCCCTGACCTACCTTGTTTGATTATAGGTCATGAGACCTTCATTCCAGAAAGGATTCTGCCCCAGACCCAGAAGGAAGGAATGCTGCACAGAGAGGCCAAGAACAACCTAGACAGACAGGCTTTGCTGGGTTCCTCCCTGCTCCCCTCAGTCTATTACTATTAGATATGCTCTTTTTGTCCAATCATATATCTGCACAGTGGTCTTTTGTTATAAGAGTGCCTGCTGTGCCCTTTGTGATGGAGAGGATAGGTATCACACCCTACCTACCACTCCTACAGTCCCAACCAGGATCCCATATTGCATTTGGTTGTCCTGTCTCCTTAGCCTCCTCTGGTCTGTGGCAATCTCTGACCTCCCATGTTTTTGATTACCTTGATAATTTGAGGAATTCTTATCAAATATTTCATAGAATATTCCTCTTTGGGGACTTGTCTGATATATATATATATATATATACACACACACACATATATATACATATATATATATATTTATATTTTAATAATTGCACTGGTGTTAGTGTTTGGTAGGAAGACCACAGAGGTAAATGTCATTCTTATACATATGCTGTCAACTGATGCTAATCTTGATCACCTGGTTGAGGTAGTGTTTGCTAGGTTTTTCCACTATAAAGTTACTTCTCCCTGCACTTAATAGTTTTGTTGGTATAACAACCTACTGTCTATGCCAGGCATCCTCAAACTACGGCCCGTGGGCCACATGCTGCCCACCAAGGACATTTATCCGGCCTGCCAGGTGTTTTTGCCTCTGCTGCCTGTCCTGCTTAGCAGCCGACTCGTCCCGGGCCCACAGTGCACACTCTCCAACGGTCTGAGGGACAGTGAACTGGCTCCCTGTTTAAAAAGGTTGAGGACCCCTGGTCTATGCAATGAGAAAGTTATATAAGCATTCTCCAGTTTACAAATGGATTGTAGATGTGACACTCATTTGCTGGATATTTGGTATTATCTATTTTTTTCTAGAAATGTTATTGCAAATAGTAGCTAAGCTTATAAAAACTTATCTTGCCCATTATGTGCCCTGTTGGTAGCACTAGTAACAACCCAGTTTCTAACCACTGTCCCCATGGGGAAATGCAACATTCTAGGTAAGGGTTTCTGGAAGCTAAACATGCATAACGATAGAATGTGCATGTTTCCCTAGCAGGTCCATCCCCACAGGCAACCAGGCACTAGAATTAGGGACTCCACCAGCTTAAAACCTCTGGTGGAGAGTGGTCCAGTAAGGGACAGCTAGAATCTAGTATCAAGAGCCAGATGTGAATACCATACAAGAGGATGAAGAACACCAGGGCTACTTCTCAGTCTCATACCAGCTTCATCATCCCTCCCTGTCCCACTCAGCAAGAATCCATTTCCCCCCCCCCATTTATCATTAATTTTTAAACAAACCTTTTCCCCCTATTGAGTTACTCTAAGCCATAGTGATGGTAGCAAGATGAGACACCCCAGGGTTTCCTCTTTGGTCCTTTCTCATGTATATGTGGTCTGCTTAGTTAAGTACAGAAAAATATGGCTCTCCCGTCCATTAGCACCAAAACATTAGTGTACGCAGCCCCAGCTTGGTGAGGTGGAGGGAGAGGATCATTCAGCCCACCAGTCTCTTTGGAATTCTTGACATTAGTCAAGGTAATAGACATATTCTCTGGTTTTGCAATGCTATCAGACACCTGGACCTTAATTTTATCCCCATTATAGAGACTGTCAGCATTGGGGGGAAATTGCTATAAAGTAGGGAAGAGTTGTATGTAAAATCCTTTCATCCTCTTTTCCATCTTCCCCAGCACCACCACAAAAGTGTACTAATTTATCTAATCAGCACCCACCTTTAGTTCCCTCATGGTAAGTTACAAAACAACACTGGAGATTTATAGATCAACCCTTCAATCCTTTGTCACCTCCCATCTTTTCAAACAGGTATTTTAATCATTCATTTCACTTATATATCAAACCATTACTTTGAGGTTAACATGGAATATAATATTTCTTTCCACAGTATTGCACTGCATGAGCAGTCAAGTGAGTACCTTCATGTACCTTTGTTACAAGAAATGTAACAAAGACAATAAACTGAAACAACATATATTTTGTGCTAGTCCTTTGATAATATTAGAAGCATTAGCTTCATTCATTAGGTACTTGAAGCCAACCCTGGAAAATCTACCGAGTTCTGACTACAGTCATTTAACTTAATCTAGAACAATAAATACTCAGTTAACTACACCAAGAGTAAGCAATACTTAACAGCTAGTTACTAGACCTTCTAATGAAAATTCAGCTGTTAATCCTACTAGAGTTGCCTTGTATATGACGAGTCATTTTCTCTTCTTTAAAAATTTGTTTTTATGTAGCTTTCAGCATTCTTACTGTGATATGTCTTGGTGTGGATTATTTTGTATGTATCTTGCTTGGGGTTTGCTGAGCTTTGAGGATGAATATTTTTTCTCAAATTTGGGGAGTTTCCAGACATTATTTCTTCAAATATTTTTGTGTTTCTTGCTCACTCTCTCCTGTCCTCCCATTATGTATACATTGGTGCATTTATTGGCTTGCCATCTTCTTCTGAGGCTCTGTTCATTTCTGTTTTTTGATTGCATAATTACTATCAACTTATCTTTCAAGTTTCTTATTCTTTATTCTGCCAGTTCAAATCTGTTGAGTCACTTAAGTGAATTTTTTGTTCAGTTAATGTATTTTCAACTCTAAAAGTTCCATTTCTTTTCATAATTTCTATCTCTTTATTAATACTTTATATTTTAGGAGACACTGTCATCATATCTTCCTCTTCCATCTCTAAGCATGGTTACATTTAGGTGGTACACATATTCAGTTCTTGGAATATGTTCATAATAACTACTTTCAAGTCTTTGTCTGCTAGGTCCCACATCTGGGCCTTCTCACAGGCAGTTTATATTACCTGCTTTTTTTCTCATGTGTATGGGTAACAATTTTCCATTTCTTTGCATGTTTTATTTGTTTTTTGTTGAAGATTAGATATTAATAATATAGGTTAGGTGCAATGGCTTATACCTGTAATCTCAGCACTTTGGGAGGCTGAAGTAGGAGGATTGCTTGAGGCCAGGAGTTTGAGACCAGCCTGGGCAACATAGTGAGACCCCATCTCTACAAAAGAATAAAACAAAAAATATCCAGGCATGGCGGTATACACCTGTTGTCCTAGATACTCAAGAGGCTGAGGCAGGAGGATTGCTTGGGACCAGGAGTTCCAGTTTACAGTGAACTGTGATTCTGCCACTGCACTCTGGCCTGGGCAATAGAGCAAGATCCTATCTCTAAATAAATAAATAAAAATAAAAAATATATATTTTAACAATTCTGGATACTGATTCCTCTGCCCATGGGGCTTATTTATTTATTATTTTTA